GGCCGTTTCGCTCCCTTCGCCTCCGATCTTTCCTATTATTCTTTCCATTCTTGTTTTTAATTAAGACACCAGCCCGGTTTTTCGTTCGTTCCCCGCTCCCCGAGACCGCCGGGCCGTTTCTCACCGCATCCTTTAAATCACCGCTCCTCTACCGCCGCAGTATTTCATTTTTCCACAGTTAATTGCCTCACCTTTGCACTCGCGGAGGTTTCTCTCTTTTTAATTTGCTCCTCCCACGGTATCATACCGTTTTAATGAACTTTCAGCGGAGAAACCGCGGTCGATTCCGCGCCGATCTCGGTTAATTCGATAATGAAACGGCTTCGTTCGCTGAATACCGTACTTTGTCACGTATACGTTAATGCACTCTTAACGACGAATAAACAACTCGATGTGAAATAAATCCAACGACGAACAAGACGTATCAATTTTAGCTTCGTCGGAAACCTAGCGTCATTTATTAATGAAAAATTATAAATTTTGATTTACGTACCAGTAATTCAGTAATCTATAAACCAGTAATACAGTCATTTACATAGTAACGTAGTAATTTATATAATACCATAACATTCTGAGAGCTAAAATTGAGTTTACTCCAATCACTATAAAAAGAATAAAAGAATCACCTATGAAAGCCACGACAGAGTGCAGTAGCCAAAAGGTTAAATTCGCTGGATCATCCACAGATCATCGGCCAATCGAGCCTATCCGAGTTCACTCGCTATTTAATTTTTCCCGCTGCCCGTTGAATTATGCTCGCGCTGCCAGGACCGTCGTCCTTCTCCCATCGACCGTGAAACCGATTCAGAAGGACGGAAACGAAGTTTGTTATCCTTCCACACGGCTAGGCTTGCACGCGTGATGCCCAGGAGCCGATCGGTCGTTCCGGTCAACGGGACTTTTGTGAAATTTAATCAGTTTCTACGTATCGTTCCTCCGCGTCGCGGACACCGGAAGCCCGCGGACCGACGGGGCGGGCGGCGGCAGGTGAACGACCATCCTCCCCACCAGCGGCGGTTCTGGTGACCCGGAATCCCGATTCGCCGGACAGGGGGAAGGAATATTCGTCGAATGAGCAACGCGTGTTGCACCCCGAAAAGCTCCCCCCGAAATATCACGCGGCTGTTCCCTTCTTTCTTTTTCCCTCGTTTTCGAGCCGGCGTGGTGGGGCTTGACGAGTCACGGCAAAGGGGCTCGGACCGGTGCAAATGAATATCGGTCGTTTGCGGCTTGCGGTAAGTAGAGAGGTTCTCGATACACGCTCCGCTGAGAGGCTTTTCGTAGATTCTTTCTTCGTTTTTTGAGCTCTCGCGGGCGCCCATTGTGATCTCAGCGGATCGTGAATTGAGATCTTTGGGATTGGAGATGTGTTCGTGGAGGATGGAGCGGGGATGGTGGATTTGTGTTCGGTGTTTATTTTTGTAGATGAACGGTGTGGTGTAAAGTGTACTGTTTAAATTTATCGTGGTAAGTTTCGAATTTCATATTTTGAATCTCAAATCTTGAATTTCTAATTTCATGTTTCAAATCTCAAACTTCAAATCTCAAATCTTAAATCTAAAATCTGAAATCTCAAATTTCATATTTCAAATCTCAAGTCTCAAATTTCTAATTTCACGTTTCAAATTTCAAATCTCAGGTCTCGAACCTCAAATTTCTAATCTTTATCATTGCTAATCATTATCAAACCTCAAATCTTAAATCTGAAATCTGAAATCTCAAATTTCATATTTCAAATTTCAAGTCTCATCATTGCTAATCATTATCAAACCTCAAATCTTAAATCTCAAATCTTACATCTGAAATCTGAAATCTCAAATTTCATATTTCAAATCTCAAGTCTCAAATTTCTAGTTTCACGTTTCAAATTTCAAATCTCAGATCTCAAATCTCAAATTTCTAATCTTTATCATTGCTAATCATTATCAATCCTCAAATCTTAAATCTCAAGTGTCAAATTCCTAATTTCATGTTTCAAATTTCAAATCTCAGGTCTCAAATCTCAAATTTCTAATCTTTATCATTGCTAATCACTATCAAACCTCAAATCTTAAATCTCAAATCTTAAATCTCAAATCTGAAATCTCAAATTTCATATTTAAAATCTCAAGTTCCAAATTTCTAATTTCACATTTCAAATCTCAAGTCTCAAATTTCCAATTTCACGTTTCAAATTTCAAATCTCAAGTCTCAAATCTCAAACTTCTAATCGTTACCATTGCCAGTTTATACAATTCGATAAACTCTGAAGGCCCAACCAAGACCTTCCCCAGAAGATATCGACCCAATAAAAAAGTCCGCGATCTAACGATAAAACGCGTTGCAGAAAGTGTTCCACGCTCCCTATTCGTGACGCGAACGAAAGATCCCGGCGATACGGGTACGTCTTTATCGCGCAGCACGGTCCGCCCACGCAAGGATGTCCATTTCCCTGTGAACTGGGCTAAGGCCTCGGCCGACTATCGTCTATGCATATCCTGACGGCTTAAACGTCGCTCGAATAAACGGGATAGCATCGGGAAGGACGAGTTGGCACGCGAGGCCCTGTGTCCCCTTTGAATTACGATTGGGGGATCGTTTTGGAAGCGGATCGAGGCCGGCTCAAAAATTGTTTGTCGTGCGTCCAAGACGAATGACCGATCCCCAGCGCCCGTGCACGTTAATCCGACCGTTTCTTGGAACGGATCACCGTCGCGATGGATCGCCCGAACATGAACGCCGAGGTCAACTACGGAGAAACGGTTGCTCGATGGACATAAACGACCGGGAATTATGCGAATTCACCCTCGACCGCTGCGACGATCGTCGAACTGGTTCTACTCCCCTCAACGCACGAGTTACGAGCGCCGAATTACTGTCATTAATAATTCACTGGAAAAAGAGAAAAATTCTAATCATATGTTACGCCTATATTCCCTTTCAATAGTTGATTACAGAGGAATAATATTTACTTAGAATTCAAACGAACTGAATACATATATCTGTCGAATCACGTTGAAAATCTTCACCACGAGTCTCACTCGTAGGACAAGGGGTTAATCGAAATGAACTATAATTCGATTTGGTTGGTGGTCACCGGTGACCCCAATGGCATTCAACGCGTTAAAAGGCTCGAGAACTAAAACGATCCCTGCAACCACGGAACTTCTGCGATGATTCCTAAAATATGAAACTCCTGAAAATTCCAATCAGCCTCTATTTACAGTCAGTTTACCGAGGCAGGCCGATTTGCAAGTGAAATTCCGAAACAACTCCGAATTTACCGTATTCGGAGCGTCCAAACAACTTCCGCGGCCCTCTCCCTTGGACCCGGCGCCCGCGGCCTCGAAGGCGGAGGAGCCGTTCGCCGCGCACTCCGCTTTTCCAGCCGTCGGGCGGCGCGGTCGCATGCAAATCACCGCGATCAACGAAACAACCATCGATTTGTCATCCCCGGCTTTGGTAGACGCGACGCGGAGGAAGTCGGAGACGGTGTCCGCTTCTCCGAGGCCGTCGGTCTTCGCGGAACATCGCCGGATCAGCGGTGTCCCTGTCACCGATAGCGTTTACGCGCGATGAAAGGCACCGGCGGCGGAGGAACGGGGAGGGAGGCTGGCCATTGTTGCAGCCCCCGGCCGACGGGGTTGACAATAGGATGCACCCCGAGACCCGGCGTTGCTACCCGGATCCTACGGAAGACTCCCGACGCGGGAAATAGACTCGGCCCCTTTTGTCTAGTCCTTCCAGTCCTCCGCAGCCTCGTGCCTTTTCATTTGCTCCTGTCCCGTCCGGCCGTCCCTTCGTTCTACGGTCCTTTAACTAACGTCCGCTGCAATTTATGCTCCCTTTTTATCGACTGGCCGTTTTCCCTCGGTTTTACTGCGCCGCCCTTGTTAGACAAGCTCATCTTTCAGCCATTACTTAGGGATATCGGGGTATTTCTTTGGAACTGGACGCCGCCGGAGGATGGAGATTCTGGGGGATTATGGGAGGTTGACGTAGGCTTGAGTGTAATACAGTGGAATAAGTGACATTGCTTAGGCACTGTGGCGAGGAAGTTTCGGACCGTTTTTAGTTAATTGAATTCATGTCATATGGATGTGCTGTCATTAACCAGGCTGGAGAGACGTGATACGTCGAGACGATTCTGTCCCGAAATTCTCAATGATGTCTTACGCATTGATGATCTTGTTGTATTAGATTACTTCGAAATGTATCACTCTATACGGAATGATTAACAAAATTAGTCTACATATCAGTGTAAAATAGGTAAAAACAAAATTCATCGCAGGCCAAATTTTTGAATTCATTTCCAGGCAAATGGTTGACACTAAAATTTCGGAGTAATTAAATTGACTTTTTGAAAATGCTCTGTAGAAATTCTAAGAGTACATTAATTGAAGGATTAGTTCATTTAGAATTCAATTTGCATAGGTTAAATTAATTTCTTTAATAATATCTCAGAGAATCATCCGTTAT